TAGTGAGCTATTCGTTATATAGTGGAATTCCTCTTTCCAGTCACTTGTGACTGTATGGTGTCTGTAATGCATATGTTATCATTATTACTGTTGTTCCCTTGAGTTCAGAGTGGAACATAGGGCTTCAACAAAACATCCTCACTTTGTCCTATTTTCTGCCAATCTCTTCAGCTGGGTCCAGGATTGCCCATAATCTCTGATCCCCTCCTAGACACACCACCTCCTCCGTACCACCCACTTACCGACGACCCACTCGTCGATTCCCATTTGGATTCCATCCGACCGATGGCCTGCACTACCCGTGATGTCATTCGATGGCCTTTTCAAAGCATACCCCGTTCATCTTCAATTTCTCCTACATATTTGTTGAACGATCGGCTCTTTCGAGTTTACTTCCTGATGTTATTTATTTTCGACTGTGCATCTGATTTTCAAAATGCAGTCAGAGCAGGCAGCTGTTAACAACAGTCTGTAAACTGTTGGAAATGCTTTAATTAAACTGCAGTGAAAGTTTCTGACTCGTATATAAGAACTGACTGACTTCCAATTTGTGTTGAACAGAGTCCGAATCTTGTTCTTTATGCTGGCTGAGACAGGGCAGAATATCTCCAAACTGGTTTCAGTTTGATGAAGACGTATCTTGCATTTCCGGTTCCGGCTGGCTGGCTGGTTGGCTGGCAGGCTTTCTCATCTTCATCCGTTCCCACGCCAGTGGTGTAAACCGTACTTCCTGGCAAGATAAGTGAAGGAATTGACCTCTGTTAAATCTCTCCTGTTGATGGGGATTGGCGCTGGTTGTTGTTGTTGCTGTTGCTGCTGTTCATCGGTTATCTTCATCATCTCCATCATTTCTGTGTTCTCCTTGAGTCCTGTCTTCACTGCCAGCCTTTTCTGTCAGTTTGTTGGTTTCTACCACCCTTACGACAAATAAGGGAGGACAAAAAAAACTGTAAAACTGAAGTTTCGAAGTCGTGTGATTACAGCTGATATGATTATGAACAGTAATAAATTTTGTTCGAAACGTCATCCAGTAAATAATAATACTGTTTCACTGTGTGATGCATCTAATAAACAAACTAATATGGAATTACTTACAACCAAAGTGCCCAAGTTTTACACATATATTGATGTCATTCCTCGTGTGTAAACTAAACAAGTCGTACTTCTTAATGGCTTAAAGATATGAACCTAGCAGACAAAACTATGTTATCGCTGGACGTAACATCACTATTTACCTACGTCCCCTTGTAGAAACTGTCGACTACATATGCAAGCAACTCGTAGAAAAGAAAACAGAAATTGGAATCACACCAAGAATGTTGAAAGAGTTACTACTAAAATGCACTATGAACGTTCAATTTGAATTTAATAAGGAGTATTACCGCCAAATAGATGGGGTTGCTATGGGTTCTACTCTTGGTTCCTTATTAGCTGGCATATTTCTATCTGAACTGGAAAATGGTCCTTTAAAACAGATACCAAACCAACTCGATTTTTATTGTCGATATGTTAACGATAACTTCATCATTTGTGACAATAATTTGGATAAACAACACCTGCTCCAAGTCTTCAATAAGGTACACCAGCTATTAAATTCACTTGTGAAGAGGAACTCCAAGGTAGTATTCCATTTCTGGATGTTCTTCTTACAAAAAGAACAGACGGTACCTTAAAGAGAAACATCCATAGGAAAGCGACGTGGAACGGACAATACACCCACTTTCGTAGCTTCATACCTATGCAATATAAGCGCGACCTAATTCGTTGTCTTAGTCATAGAATTAGACGAATATGTACCGACGATTGTATTGAAGATGAAATAAGAAATCTTGCAAACGCCTTGCTTCAAAACGACTATCCTGCCAACTTTGTAAAGAAGTATATCTATGAAACTAAACATAAAGCCAAGCGAGGCACAGTAAATAAGAAAAAGCTTTACTTAAATGTACAATTCAAAGGCGATATATCCATCGATATATTAAATCGTATATTAACGAGATCAACTGAAAGAGCTTTTAATGCCGCAAAACTGCATGTCAGTTTCTCAACCAAACCGATAATGACACCGTGCATTTAACATAAATTGCCCAAAAGCCTTAGCCATTAAAAGACTTAAACCTGTCTTATGCGTCCAAAAGTTATTTGTTATCACCTTAAACCTGCCTTGGTAATCCAATTTAGAACCGAGGTCCAATTTACTTCATAATATTTTCAAACCCCTTCTTTGCCTTGTTTTTCCTCTCTTTATCTTTCTTACCCACACCTTTTGTGTCCCCCTACCCATTATTTATTACCTTGACCTGTACACAATCTAACCTGTATTGTAATTATTCATGCTTTCTAGCCTTATATAAAAACTGTGTATGACAAGTACGTGTGTGATCAGAATGTCCGAAATGTGTTGCGCCAATACATTATACGTTTCAGAGTTAAGCCTGTCTAATAGACGACTCGCATCTTCATGACCGTCGCATATCAAAATGATATCATCTACATATCTCTTATAGAAGGGCAATTCAGAAATTAAATCAAAGGATAAGTTTTCAACATAAGACATGTAAACGTCCGCTAACAAAGGTCCTAATGGACTTCTCATAGCAACGCCATCTTCTTGTTCGAAATGTATAGCGCAAATACATCACATTTTTCAGATAACCTCCGTCTTCTAATAACGCTATCAAAATTATTATAATTATTATCATTTTGTGATATCATGTCTTTATTATCCATTTCACCACCCAGTTTATTTCACCTCATTGTTACCCTTACTTTTTGTCAACCTTTATGATTTTATACTAGGCCTACCGATTCTGTAGCATTTTATTACAATTTACAATTTAGCCGCGTTATTTTATCATTAGACATTATCGGTCAGCCCTCACATTCAGCGCCTCCTTTGTTAATGTGCATTTGTATGTATTATGTGGTTATCGCATTTCTCTCACCCCAATGACACTTGTATTCTGTTAACCATAAAACAACACTCTATCACCCGATTGTTCATTCACACTGCATCATATTTTTTCTGACTATACACCCTATACACTATGTTAACTAATGGACTATCATCTCAGCTCACACATGCACCCCAATACAGTTTTGTGATATTATTTTCATTTGCCTTTATTGGCTATATGTACCCTGTTAATCATGGATTCATAACTGTAGAGCCTGAAGAAGAAGTTATCGAAAACAATTGTTCGCACAAAATCTTGTTTTGATTTCAATATGGGGATTTTTCATTATCATATTTAATTCTGTATAAATTTATGTATGTGGGAAAGGAAAATTGACAAGTCATGGTTGTAAAAGGTGTCAGGTGAATGGTCAGCATAAAATAGAAGGCAATAAAGAGGAGATAGTGAGACTAAGGTGAACAGTTTATCTTGAAATAATCAATATTAAGTGTCGGTTTACAAGGATTTGATTGGACACAATTCTGATCAGGAAGTTGACATCTGCCAGAGAACTTTTGGAAAACCAAAATGTGAAATGAAACAGGTGAAGGCTTATGCGGGGAAAAGAGGAAATATAACCAATAAGAACTTCGAATAGGATAAATGGAAAATTCAATAGCATTGAAAGAATGAAGGACATAAATTACGATGAAGAGTAGTAATAATTATTACAGTAAATTATAATGAAAAGATCAAAAGAAAAAGCGATAAGATGAACAGGTACTCTTGCAGGAGAAAAGGAAATTTAATCTAAGTTTGACCACGTTAGAAACACTCGTCCGGACATCTTTTTAAGTATAAAGTTTCAGTTTAGTCGACCTTATTGTAAAAGCTTCAACTGTATGCAGAAGGCATAGTTGAACTGTACGTGATAATGAATTCGTAATTTTGTGGAGCATATCGCTGAAAGTTATGTTAGCTTCAATTCGGTGTCTTGCATTCACTAAGTGTGATAGGAATCTAACTAAGCTGATGAAGTTTGTCAAAATTAGATAATTGATCAGGTAATAAAAGAATAATCTAATATAAAAATAAGGTTAATTGGACAGCAAGCTGATGAATGTTGCATACTATCTCGTGGTAACCACTCACCTGACACCTTTTACAATCCTGAAGTGATTTGTCAACTTTCTTTCCTCACACCTATACGCCTATTATGACTGATCGCCATCACCATCTGTTGTATAAAGTTGTATGCTGAATATGTCACATAATGAAATTGTTTGGTAACTGTTCATTAAAATTACAACTGCGTATATTCCACACACTATTCTACTGCACAGCAGGTCAGGTGTGGGGACAAATACCCGCCAGCGATGACATTGCTTAGTGGTCGCGCCATATCATGAATTGTTAGAAGTTGCTGTTCATGAACATTTTGATCGGGTCCCACTGGCTTAATGGTATATGAGCTCGCCTTATAACCAGAGGGTGGTGAATTCGAACCTCAGTGGATGCATGCTGATGAAGAGTCCCAAACTAGACAGACGAAACAGCTGTTCAGTACTCCCAGGTTTACCAATGGTCCTCTAACCGATGTCAGCTCATAATGAAATCCTCAAAACCAATCAAATCCCTACAAACCAACAGGCGACTATGATTATTATTATTATTACCATTTTATGATGATTAAAATTATTCGTCATCTCTCAGGCTTACATCCAACACGTCCCGCTTATTCGGTTATTTCTCTCTGGTACTTTACACTGTCGTTCTGAAAATTATTTATATTTTTCCTTTCACATCACTGACTACACTCACCCTTTCAATCTAATTCTTTCGTTAATGATTCATTCACAAACACACCGCTAAATTATTCATCATCATTTAGTGTATTAATCTCACTGAGCATCAATAAACCTTATACTTATTCAAACGACAATCATAAATAACTGACGATAAATTCTGCTTCAGGCCTAACAAATAACGCTGAGAACTACACAAATCTAATTCAAAACCAATAAAAAACTTCAAAGATTCACTACCTTCATGTTTATTCAATTTGTTATCCATACCAGCATTTATTTATTATTATTTGTCTAGGGAAATAATCTTAGAAGCTCGGAACTACTTTTCTGGCACAACATTCCCATTAAGACTAGGAATGGTAATCGCTGAAAGTCAGAAATTAATGACTTGAAGAGGGTACATTCAACAACACACTGATTCGACAAATCTCTATAGAGCATAATAACCTGCAGCTTCTGCTTCAAAACTCGACAACCACAATAGCTTCGCACAATTGGCTTAGCTAAAGGTTGTCAAAAGTGGCCTCCTAAAACCAGAAAATTGTCAGACATTAAAGCCTTCGACTGACATTAATTAAATCTAATGATGATACTAGTAGATAAATGATAGATGAATCCCCACCAACAAAGAAAGTTCGATATAATCCGTCTGATTTCCCTAAAGCCGAGAAAAAGTTTGACAAATTTTGAAGAACCTTGATTACAAATGCTTTTCTTCCAAGCAGTTCTACAGACAAGGAATTGAGACAAAATAATGCCACTGAACAGTTTCATGTTGTGTCGAAAAAACTTCCTACTGAATTCCTAGTTCAAAGGTAATTTTACTCCAGACATTTCTCGAAAATGACTCCTACCTCTATTAGAATATTCTCTTGCAAGAAGTAATCAGGTCAGTATGTGAGAAAACTGATGCATTGTTCCACATCAAAATGTAAAATTATCCGTCGACTTCCTCCTACGGATTTGAGAGCCATTTTGTATTTTTCCTCTGTTTACCCAGCCCGCATAGGTTTGTGAGTGGTTTTCAAAATAGTAAAGTAGGTAGGTATTTTGTATGGTGAAGCTAACCATTTTTTTAATTTTCAGTTTATCAATATAGTTATCTTACAATGGTTGAAAGTGTTAAGCTTATTAATGAATGAGTAATTGAAATATCAAGTCTAATGGATTATATATTAGTGTTTGGTTTTAGTGTTTGTCATAACTCCACTGAAATGAATAAACCCCATCGCTACTTCTTTATATCTGAGCTGCTAATTGTGATGACAGTAATGAGCTCGACTGGGACGCTAATACGCCTATTTGTCCGTTGTACCTTCCATTTCACTGAGCCACCCAAAAATCAATAGACAAAGACTGGCCTGTAACTGCAGGATACTGTATATTTTAGAAACAGAACATCATATTTATACATTTTATTTACCGCAACAAATTCGGCTAACAACCGACTGGCTGGCTAGTCATAGCTATTCTCATTGGTTGGCGATCCGACAAAAACCAAGGTGAGAGAAAAGACGATGAATTAATCACACAATAAATCAAAATATGAGTGAGAAGTGATAGATTAACATAGTAACTCCCTCAGAGGATAAATCACACAATTCATGAGAAAGGATGGTATATTATTTTATGCTGGATCCTGTTAGCGTTACATCCCAGCAGAAATTAACAGACCCACCGTTGTTATACAAAGAGAAGAGTTTTAAGCTCATAGTATAGGTTAAGTTTCTGTCCGAAATCAGTAATATGACTACGTTATATTTACACTATTCTTCTTATCTGTGCTAATTAAACAATACAAATGATTTATTCGCCTATAGAAAGAAGTACACTTAATTCCTTTACGCCTTGTATGAATAAAGACGACTTGATAAAATGGAAAAGAGAATTCTAATAATTATTTTTGTAAACACAGTCAGCCGCTAAAATACATTACACACCCATGCAATAATAACAATAACAATTTACTTTATTCCAAAAACAGTACTTGTGATACAGAATGGAATTTTCAGCATTAATCACAATACTGCATCTAATTTCCTCAAATTATAAATAAAATTAGTCACACAGAAAATTGTCCACATTTACAATAGAGGTAATGTCAGAAACATGCAGCATATGAAATGGAAATAATAATAATAATTATAACAGCCAAGGTAATAATAATAATACAAGTGAAAAATTGCCATGGGCTTGTTACATATAGTATTGTCAATGCGGTATAGAAATCCTAACATGTTTAAAAATATTGAATATAATGTTCTCTTTACATGATATGGCGAGGGGAAAAACAAAGATTACAGCCGTCGAGATAAGTTGGTGTTTGCGATTATGAGAGTAAAACAAAGAAGCAACAAGACCATAAATATAATAGAAGTAATAAAAGTAAAACTTGAAGGTATATAAGAATGGGTGGAGGAAATTGTTTATTTACTAGATGAAAAAAGGTTAGTTAATTCTTGCCTGACACTATTTTCATCACATAAAATACGTGCCAAGTATGGTATCATAGAATTTCTATACTTAGACGTGCGAGCATACAGTTTTCTGAAGTTACTTCTTGTTCTACCTGAGGAGATACAAGGTGAAATTTGAGCGTAAAGCGGATGCTCCAAGTCAGACAAAATCCCTCTCGCAAATTTATTGCATGAAATCAAGTGCCTATCGATAACAACACTAACTATGTGGTCCACTGGGACACCACTCACCCTACTGGCAGTCTTCAGCATTCTACGAATTGTGACATAGTCGTTTTTAAGCAAACGAGGAAAGAATAAGGGTGAGCGATAAAGAAGAATAGGTAGGATGCAAGAGTTTGAGAACTGTAGGAGGAGGTGTTGAGTTATACCCGAGTGCCTTAACTTCTTAATTTAAAATGTCAGGCAGAATACTTTACTGGAGATGGCTAAGACATATGGAAGTCCAGGAGAGATCAGAAGAGAGAATAAGTCCAAGACACTTAATTTCTGATTTGATTCCTTTATCATTTTCATCAATCTTACAACTGTCATGAGAATCAATGACTTCATTTTACTGTCTTTTACATCTTAAGCTGAAATTAACAGTTTGACATTTAGAAGGATTCAGTTTAAGACCGTTAGACTCAGACCATTTACTAACTCCCGACAGAAAGCTATTTATTTTGGTACAATCTAGCTGGGAGTTAACAGCCATTGAAACTGTTAAGTCATCAGCATACTTCACAAAGTTTATTTCATCAGAGTGAGGAAAGTCATGCAAGAAGAAAGAAAAAAGAAAAGGAGAAAGGACAGCGCTTTGAGGGATACCACCTTCAGTAGGCAATGAAGTGGAAGACTTCTCCTTATACACGGTGTACTGCTTTCTTTATGAGAAATAGGAATGTAACCAGTTGACAGCCCAACATTCCGTTTGACTTGCAGCAGGTTTATTTAATAAGATGTCCTTAGGGACCGAGTCAAAAGCAGATGTGTAGTCTAGGAAGTCACAACGAACACATTTAGCCCCCTTGTCTAGACTGGAAGCAATGCTATGATATAAGACGGCAGCCGCATCTAAAGTGCTTCTGCTGTGCTTATAGGCAAATTGTTTAGGGTCATTAAAGGATTTAAACGAAGGTAAAAGACTAAGTAGAAGTAATTTCTCCATAGTTTTCAAAAAAGGAGAGGTAATTGCAATGGGTGTTAATTTGACACATGCTCCAGTAGATAATTTGGGTATAGGTACAACTTTGATGTCCTTCCAAACGGCAGGCACAATATTACTGGAAAAACATTTGTTAAACAAATCAGTGAGGGGGTGACACAGAATATCAGAACATTTAAAAAAAAATAATACTAGGTACACAATCTGTACCTAAGTTCTGGGAAAGGTTTAGAGACTTGAGGCACTTTTGAACACCATTTGTGTTAAAACCTGGAAAGGGGCTATTATTAACACTAGTGATGCTGGGAAGAATGGCATTTGAGGGAGAGTAAATAAAAGATTTATTAAGAGTACATACATCAAAAGAATATGGAATATTGTATGCATGTAAGTTGAAGGATTGTTTACATAAACAAGCTTTGTAGGTTAACTATTATTTCGTTAATTTCTGTAAGACTTGCCAATATTTGATGGAGTTTCTCGCTTCATTCCTTTTTTAATAAAGTCCATTACTGCCATGATGAAAGTTTTGATCACAGTGAATACATTTCACGACAGACTGACACATCTTATCTGCACACATTAATGTTAAACGAAAGCGTACCTGAAAACAATCCAAAGACTCATTGTCTTGTGGAATACAGTGTCTACTCAAGAGACTATGCCTTTTCTGCAAATTGAATTTCACTAGTCATTGTTTGTGAATATCGAAACGAAGTGTGATTTATTTTTGGATATTATGAACAAGGCGGAGTCACAAAATTCATAGTTCTCAAAGTTTTAAATTGTAGAAACTGAATTCTGAAAATTTAAAAAACATCCTTCTCAAAATTTGTTCTCTCCTCAAAGACTGTTGGTTACCCAGAAGGGAATAAGTTCAACACAAATACATAGCGAAACAATCTCATTAGTGTGTTCGGGGTAAACGTATGGTTTGTTAGTCTAGGGTTAAGACGTGAAGAGCTTGTCTTATTGAAACATTTAGAGGAAACTGCATTGTATTACAAGAATTTATTTTTCAGAGTATGATGAACATACAGAATGAGCGATTGATCTCTGGACAAAAGGCCGTAATCATTTATAGTGTGGACTCGAAGGCGTATGATTTTATGGTGTAAGAAATTTAGGAAAGAACGTTTCACCTGGAACATTTGCTTTATTAGCTATGGGGTGTAATAACTGCTAGACTTTGTTGAGTGTTATGCCAAATTGTAATATTGTTTAAGTCAACACTGATTTCCCCTCAATCCGTTCTTTCCCTCCTTCCTTTTCTTTCTCACATTTCCCTTTCCCTAACTGATGAATGATCCCTATCCAAACATTAGTGAACAATTTGATGCAGATTTCGTCACGAAACAGCATCCATTTAAGATGTCTGGACATCTGTTTCATCCTAATTTAAGACCATTCAACACTGCTGGAGGTTCTCAGACTAAGACGGAATAACTGTCCAGCGATCTCTAATTGGTATTAGTTCATGACAATATCTATATATATTCAAATGAATCCAGATTCCTACAAAATGCTGTCATCTTAACATTACAGAAAAGGCTAAATCAGCGAAGATGTGCTTTTTATTTACAACATCTTTCTTAGCTGTACATTCTCGTTTATTTTGTTTGTTAAACGGTTGCGACATGATGTCATTTCGCAGTTTACTTACTATTATTATTATTTTGATGTGGTTGTGTTCACACCTCACTGTAGATATAATACTCATTTTAAATTAACGCATCATCTGACTATACGTCAAGAACAAGATTAGGTATTTAATAGAATTTTAAATTTTCCCATCTATTGATTGGACTGAAGTGCTAGGTCTCAGGTTGACATGTTGGCTTCTTGTGCAGGTGCTTCGATGATGTCTGGGCATTTAATTAGTATTTAATTGGTGGATGGTGACCAGCAGTGGAATCCAGGATGCGCATTTCGCCTGTCCTATTTGGGACTTGTCAACTGGATGCACCTGCACTTCTCAGTGAGTGATGATGTTCCCACCGAGTCACGAACCCAGTGCCCATAGTTTCAAACGCCAAAGCCTTATCGACAGGACCAATTGAGCCACCTCTTGTGCAACGAGTGCCCCAAGTGGTCTCGTGGATAAGGCTTTGGCGTTTGAAGCTATGGGCACTGGGTTCGTGACTCGGTGGGAACATCATCACTCACTGAGAAATGCAGGTGCATCCAGTTGACAAGTCCCAAATAGGACAGGCGAAATGCGCATCCTGGATTCCACTGCTGGTCACCATCCACCAATTAGATAACAATATTAGGTGTTGTAAGTAGCAAAATTATATAGGAGAGTTAACTTCAAGCCTTCTTCCTTTCTCAGTTATTTGTGATTGTTCCAGCACGGACCTGGATCATTTTTGTTAATCCGATTACAGTATTTACACACTTCTTAATGTGATATTATTGAGTAATTAGTTAAGAGACTGTCCAAACTGACTAAAGTCGAAAAGAACAGCAAGCATGTAAATTCAACCTACGTTTAATTTGTTATTTAAATTATAAACTATGCATGCCTATAAAACTGTTATGTACCTACATCGACAGGAATAAATACGCATTACGTTTTACGATCTGGTACAGAACCCAAAGTATTGGTTTATCAATTAATCGAGTTTTTAACTTCAAATTATTGTTCTGGATATCTTAGAAAGAAGCTACATCCTATTTTCATCAAGTAAAAGCTTTTGAAACTGTTCACGAAATTCACAATTTCACCAGTGTGTTTCGAGAATATCACAGAACACCACTTAAAATACCACTACAAACTATCACTCCTCGTTCTTATACAGACCACTAACCTACTCCCATTTCTACTCTCAAACAAGTGGAAGACAAACTTCCGTATTACTCCACTTCAACATGGAAATGCAAATCAAAATAAAGTTGATTACATTGAATATTTATCAGACGCGCATAGGTTAAGAAAAACAGTGAATACATTCAGTAGTCAAAATTGGTCAGTGTAGTAACGACCTCAAGTTGACTCAAGTTAAATGGATTACTTGAGAAACCAATGGCCGACTTTGTAGTGCCCACCAGTTTTCACTTCTTTCCACGCTGTGAATGAGAAAAATATGGGGATTAGACATTTTGATTACCTAGTAAGATATATGTGAATAACTCAATGTGGAATCATCACAGTTCACTAGGTCACCAGTTTTACAAATGAGCAGTTATTATTATTCAGCGACGTACTTTGAATCACTGCCTGACGTGACATAACATGATGATCAGGCTTGAAGTTCGGGAACTTTCATTCCATAACAGAACTGAAGACATTTTTGAAATGGGTCTTCTGTGTAAGCCCTCTGCATAAACTGATCAACACCGAAATCTCGTTCAGATATCACTTTGTCTATGATTTGAGAAGGAATGTTTCGGTCTGATCACCATCATTCATTCTCCAAATTAATATTTCAAATAGTTTCAGTAGCATCAGAAACTGGTCAGAGGTGGAGTCGACCGCCTTCTGTCGAAGCAGCATAAATCACATATCAGAGACACATACTTAGACTATTGGAACACTTCCCACTGTCGGGAAGGTAAGATAAGTTAAGGAAGATGGAGGATTACCTGCAAATTAAACGTCATTACCTCTAACTGATGAGATGGAAATTTCTGTTCTCGTCTTCACAATGGCGAATCATCCCTTGACGCTTTATGTGCAACAGTTTATTCTAGCCAACACTCACATAGGCCAAGCTGCAGATGAGTATCTGTTGAGCCTAACGAATTTCGGTTGTTTCTGGTGAATGAGTGGTTGTTTTCATGAAGTCTGAAGTGTTTTCATGGTGTATTATTGAACGAAGATGCAAGTGATGATCATGATAATAAAAATAATATGGAAATATTCTTCACACAAATTATTCTTACTCCACAAACTTCATTTGGATGTGGGCAGATAGCCTCTCCAGTAATCTGATTGGTTTGTATTCTTGCTACACCTGACTGACAAGGGAATGGTTGACCATTAACAATTATTTTCAGGCCTCCAGAACATGAAATCTGTAAATTTTCAACAAACATGAAAGTTGTGTTAATTTCCCTCCTATCATGCATTGAGGACAATGAAAGTATGAATATATACTGCGGATAATCTATTCAAATTTAATTAATTACCCTATATGATAGTTAGAACAAGTGAGACTTATACCGTTTAAATATTGCCTGCATTTACAAGATTGATTGTCTCCGGAGGTTTGTGCAGTTCTATTGGTACTTAATACTTTGCTATGTCTCAGATATTACCTTTTACCCAAATGACTTCGTTTACCTGGCTTGATAAATCTGATGCATATCGACACATTTGATTATTACACATTCATCCCAATACAAGGTTTCACTATTTGACCACTACCCATTCATTTGAAACTGTTAGACATACATCCTCTTATGTTAAATATTTCACTGTATCCCACTAACAAAGTTTGCTAAACCCTCCATGCAACGGAGACATTCGATTCAAATGACAAAGAGTATATTAATTCGTTAAACAAATCACAGTTGAAAATTTTGATTTTTGATTTTGATTTACAGCTTTATTCCACACTGTATTTTCGGTACAAGTATGGAATTTTCAGAAGGTGATATCCGTAGCCCAAATTTCGCAGGCCGACCATAGATATCAGGTGTGCGTCGGCAGGGGATCGAACCTCGGACCATGTGCATGGTCGGCGAGAGTCTTAACCACTGTGCCACCGACGCACGCATGCATGATTGAATAGATAGCACATTATATATATATACATTTTTCAGTTGTGAATCGTCCTCCAGTTGCAATAATAATGACCATTATGAAAATGCAATTCATAGAAACGTGTGAGAAGCTGGTTTCTGTTGTAGGTGTAAACATATGTGAAGTATTATTGTGACTGTCCCCTTAAGTTCCGAGTGAAACAGCGTGTTTGCACCCTATGTCATTCTTTGATGTATTCTTAAGCTGGCCCCATGATTGCCCATAATCTCTCGTCTTCTTGCACCATCCTTTCCATGTTACCCCCAGACGCAAGCACAACACCTCGTTTCCCATATGGGTCCCACTCGAGAGCTAGCCTGACGTTCGATGTTAGTTATCCGATGGTCTTGTCAGCGTGTACCCAATCCATCTGCGTTTTGTCCTATATATTTGGTGAACAACACGTTCCTGGTTGGTTTGTTCCCATAGCTGTTGAATGAGGTTGATAGAGATTTGAGACATTCCACTGCATAGTGTTAGGAGTAGTCTCCAAATAATTTTTTCACGGTCAACGCTGTCTATCGAATATCTTCCCTAAGTCAGTGAAATTGAGGTAGACATTTGACTACCATTCTACGCTTTGTTCTGTGATGATGATGTGTAGAGTTGCAATTTGATTAGCATATGATTTGCCTTTCCTGAATCCAGCCCGTTCTATGGGGACAGTGTTCTGCATCCATTGCATCCTTTATGCTCTCTCCAGGATGACACGACTTAGTATTTCAGTTCGTATGGACAATATTTTGATTTTACATCAATCAAAACGCTATTTACTTTGCTTTCATGTGTTTTATCTCTAGCAATATTCAATAATTATTCGGAATATACTGAGTTCCCTGCTTTCTTGCTAATTTAAGATGTCGACTTTCATGTGGAGGTGTAGCTTCAGAAGTGGTACGAAGTTAGCCTTATCCACTGTATGATGTGTAGAAGATGTTAGCTGTCGATGCACATTCATCAACGTCTTGCCTGCATACTGATGCTGATGATGATGACGACAAGGTACACACAAGTTCTAGATGTCAGGTAAGATGGCCATTTAATGAAATTTATATTTTAGTACTTAAACATACCTGATGACAAGTAGCCATAACCAGGCGACTTTTTGACATCTTTCTATTCAACTGGGCTTTCCAAATTCCTCTATGTGCAATGCATACTGAATTATTACCGAAGTCTTGAGCATACATGTTTTTACCTTGCACTTCAAAAAATAAGAAAGTGATTTTGTTAATAAGCGATGTTAGGAAATGAAGAAACTTGTAAAAAACTCGTGTAAAATGATTCTGCTTCGCACAAAATTGTCTAAAGATGAATGGACGTGTACCTTAAGTTTCAGGTATACTTGTCAATGTTACATGTTAATCTTTGAATGCAAAATAATGAATTCTAGACCTATCAGTTTCCTTTATTCCATAATATTATTTATCTTATATCTAGGCATCTTCCAGTGGGAAGCCGTGATCAGTAGGGTGCAGCAGGTTTAAGGTGAGGCAGTAACTCATCGAAGAAGACAATGAGAAGTGACCGCGCTATGTCATGAGTTGGCAGAAGTTAGAATTCATTGGATCGGATCTCAATGGCTCATTGGTCGACGAGCTCGCCTTGTAACCAGAAGGTATTGGGTTCGAACACAGGCGATGGGTGCGTTCTGCTGGAGAACCGCAAACTGGGACGAAACAGCTGTCCAGTACTCCCAAGTTCTCCAGTAGTTCGCTAACAGATATCAGCTCATGATGAAACCCTCCAACCAATCAAACAAAATCCCTACATAATTATATCTAGTACTCCAGTAGGTATCTTCTTGATGTTAATACTTTTTGCTTTTCAAACTTTGTTTCGAAAGCTAAAGTAGTAGTTACTTTTGAGTAGAGCAATCAGTCATTTCAGGATTTATATAGGCTTTGCATTTTCCCTGCAATTATGAAAACTACGCTGGAAATCTTCGCTTGCCACAGTACATCCGAACAGTACCAACCGATTTTTAAGTTTTGTTCACTAGATACATTTTTGGAAGTGAAACCTTCAGCAATCATCTTCAACAGTAAGAGTTCCAATATTTACAGTATAGAAAGAAGACATACATATAAGTAGTAGATCAAAATGTTAGGAGACTTACATTTTTGTCTATTCATACCAAGATTGCAATGTGACACTATCGGTATACTAAAGAAATATGTCGCCGGCTTCATGTTTATTTCAGAGAGTGGAGAAATAAAAAATGACAAACGATATGTGTTTCACTTTATTAACAAAACACACAGAATTGTGATATCATCTATTCACCTATGATAAAGGACAACATCAGATCTGATCGTATATATGGATGGTTTACCAACGCATACTGTTCTGGAGTGTTAAGAACTGAGACCACGACAAGACTCAATCATGAATATTTGAGAATGGTAAAGTTTGTTTCGTTGAATAAAGGGATGATTAGCCGTATACCTGGAGACAGGAATGAATGACCTATCGAGAACAGGAAAATAGTTTTAACTTTTGTCAAGGCCATCGGTTGAGTTTTATACGTAAACTCATGCGTATATTTGTAAAGTAAAATCTATAATCTGTACACATTTACACGTGGATCCCACTTTCAGGCACTCAAATCGGACATCCTTAGAATTATAAGCTTAGTAGATTTGTAAACATGCTGAGACAAAAATCAGAGCAGCTTCATGGTATTGTCGAGTTATGCAGACGATGATGCTGTAAGACAATCTAAATGATAGTTGGATTCCAGTTTACTAATTTCAAGAGTCGCCGTTAAACACAACGGTTACAATGAAAATGATAATTTAAGTGATGGTAGATTGGTAGATGGAAATTTTGACGCGCTAGAAGTCTGTTTATCGATTATGTAATCTCAGTCTGACTAGTGGATGGTGTAAATCGATGTAACTGTCTACCCACTGCTTATTTCAATCAGTAGTCTATGCTGTGTAGCTTTTCTCCTCAACTTCTGGATACTATTTATTGTGGTGTTTTTTGATTAAGACACCATTAAAAACCACTATGTTATTTCATCTGAAATGATGTTTTTCACAAATTATTATTTATATTCTACCCAACTACGTTAAGTGCAATATTAACCGGAGTTACCGTGGTCTATATTGCGACAGTCATCTGGGCTGTTATACACAGTCAGACAGCACTTTGATGGAGACGGGGTTCAGTCAACTACTTTGTTTCATATTCTAACATACACAAGAATAGATATATGTATTGAAGATGGAAGCTTACCTGAGCAATAGGACAACTATCCACGAGTTCAGCGGCTCCTCCTTTGTTAGGATTACCTCTGAAATATTGATCAGATGGAGGCAGATTTCTATTCATATTTTGAGCTGTACATTGGCCGTAGGCTTTCCTATGATAACACATATAAGTGCTCGATTCTTCACAGTACGGTTCAATACTTCTTCCCCTACAATATCACAAATATAAGAAATACATCAACTGGAATCCGCCTTTTAATAAAATACATGAGGTTATCTATTGTCAACAGGTGTGATTCACACAAAACTATCAGTACAATATTCACACATGCATCACAACATTCATTATGCACTGGAGATCTTACTGTTGCTTCATTCTGTTCATATACGCATAGCAGCTTTCCATTACGAAACTACAGCCAAGACCCTTTCCGTAGTCATATCTTTCCGCGACTGAGTAGTCGACATCCCACCAACTGTAATTGGAACAAATAAAAACATGGGCGAAAGCATTCAGTAAGTGAAATCGAGTGTGCGATATAAACTGAGTAACTAGTATATTGCCTTGTCTGACACCGCATCAGCAGTATGCGATTATAAAATGTGTTAGCTGTTAGAATGATGTCTACTTTGTCACTCCATCTGTTATCGAACACACCTTAATAGATAATACCTGAGTGAAATTGATTTCACTGGGAAATTTACTTGAGAAATAATGATAATTAGTGCATCTGTAATCCCTACTTATTAAAGCTAACATGTTCAATTACATTAACTTACCCAGAATCTTGGAAGTAAGCTAATGTCAGTCGTGAAACTATTCCTCTCAATCCTGTAGAACCTGCCATGATTTCATCCTGAAAGAAAAATCAGGTTGTGCAGTTGTTATAATTCATCAGAAGTAACATTTAAAAAACTTCATGTGATAATTCCTGTATCTTGATAATCCACTCAGCTGACTGACGTAGTGGTGTGTTTCTAACCGCCTTGATCAATTTTTGCAATAGACAGCGCCTAAATTCTGAGATAGAATGTTAATAATAATGATAAAATTGGTACATTCTTCTTGGGGTAGAATAGGCTATGCTGTTCGATTATGTATAAAAATCGCTACTTTACTGTTTGAAATTCAGAAGGCAAGTGAGTGTATTTTTTAAATTCCAGTCTCCAAATACTGATATCAATGAATATTCGTGGTATTGTGCTGTAAGTGTATTAGGCGTCACATTTATATACGAACACATATACATGCACTTAGATATGGGTATACATATACGTAGGCCTAATATATCTCACAAATGTGGCTAAAGTACTCGAAGAGTCTGTCAGACTGAAAGACATGCTTAAGGTTTCATGCTATTAACATAAGATATCTATTCTTCTATAAATATAAATACAACTTTGGTATGAACAATAATGTTTCGACATTGACTTACACCAACAACTCGCTTTTCAAAATGTGTACCGGCTGTTCCTTGACCGCCTTCATTCTCTAAATCAATTCCATCGAGATTTGGACAGTTGAAGTGTCGACGTCCCTCTTCCTAAAAGCACAACAGATACATCGAATATATTACACAGTAGAGGATATCATACAGAAAAGAACATCTCCCCTCGACTGGTGATATCACGCTCGATTATATACCTCATAATATCCATCGAGTCATATAACTGCTATTCCTGCAGAAAATGTAACTAAATGTAATCGCGCCTCACTCTCTTACTAGCTTCCATCGGTGCTGATAGCAACATCAGTTTGAAGGAGGAGATGCTCAGTGACAATTCGAGATCCAACCTTCCCTACATCAAGTAATTTTGTCTAGATTTACAATCAGAATTCACTGAAATCTAAGAAAGGAGCCTTTAGAGGTCCTGTTGTTGAGGTTACAAGAACATGCTCCAGAACACAATGCGATCATGTCCCACTAAAAGTACTTACTAATACACGTGGTGTAACCAAAGATGTAAATGTTTTACGGAATGTTCCTACAGCCGAGACCCATGGGCGGTTGATTTGTCTGACAGTGTTTTCACTAGAAGAGAAAGTAAATAGTAACATAGAAAGAGTTTGTTTAATTAGGATGAGTAAGGATATGAGAATCACATTCGTAAACAGTATAATCCCTCGCGGAGCATAGTGACCACATAGGCCCTCCATATTATATTTCAACTAATCGATAATTTATCACAAAGGTGATTATACAATAAAAGACATGGAAATTAATCGGCGAGACTTATTGGATGTTACTGGCCATCAACATTAACTGTGACACTAACAATATTTTCTCGAATATCATTAGCACCACTTCAGATATTTCCCCATTCAACAGAATAATAAGGAGCATATATGGTCATCCATATTTGAATATCATAGTTTTCGTGACTTGTTTGATGTGTTCGTATAAACTTGAATTATCAGTGAAAACATTTTCAAGATTATATACTAACGCGAAACAAAGTGAACTGCACTTTGCACAGAGTGATTTGTGACAAACTTTGCAATCATGTGACCCCCATAATTTGTGTTTTAATGCTGAGATTAAAGTTCCTCTGGATTCTGTCCCGTGAATTGTAAACTGATAGTGAAATCTCCTGCCATCATTCAGTCTATGTGGAAAGTATATAAGAAAGATAAGACTCAAGGGAGTAGGAGAGTAATAATAACTGGGAATAACACCCAACAACACACACACACACGGTCGAAGCGACTTTAGATATGAAGAGGTTTCAATGAACACATTGGAATAATACTGTTACGATTAGCAATGGTACACCATCTGATTTTCAGAGGTTTTAGTAAATGTATTCAACTGTAACACTGTTTCCCCTGTAAATCAAACATTATTTCATAGATGTGGTGACTGGCAGTAGTCGAATCCTGAAACCAACCACATCACTGCTGAATACATATTTCCAAATGACGAAGATTTATTTTGGTGTTCATTTATCAACAAAATGCATAAAACGTATGTATCTCACCTGGGTTGACCGTTTCGTGGTTTTTTAGTCATAGGGTCCCTGGGTGTTCTTGGATTGCCATTCACATCACGCATTAAAGCGAAACATTTACTTGTAAATCCCTGTAAATTTTTAATAAAGCAACATGTTATTCAGAAATTAGTTAACACACACTCACATAACACTTATCTTTACATACTGAGTGAATTTTGCTTTTCACAAGTCATCTAGCTGAAACAATACACCCTTTCCTCGACTTTATTGAGAACTACTCTCAAGTGATTTATGAAATCGGTCAAAAGGTGTAGGTGTTAAGTGAAACGTATGATCGCGAATAGAGAAAACAATGAAAATGCATTTGTTACAATAAATTGTAATTTGGTATTCATTTTGTGAATTTAACCTGATCCGATCGCTTGCCACTTGCAATCGGTGCATATGCAATCCTGATACTGTGGATGAAGGGCTAAGTTTTTTGACAGAAATCCTTGTAAAAAATTATTTCCACTGCGTTTTATAGACAAGAATATGCAGTAAATCCTTTGCAATGCGACTTATTATCCGTAACCAAAAGAACACTGTACATGAGCTTGGAACTCAGCGGCGGCTGACGTCACAGTACCTAAGAAGACCATTCCTTGTGGCATCGTCGAGAATAGAGTTTTGTGGTCAGCTATTACTGTTCAACAACCTGAAGGACAAGATCCCGCAGTTGACCAACTCTGTTTGCGTTTAGCAATTCACCTGCTCATGTGGAGTTAGTTATACAGGTAGTTCAACTCCAGTTTTGACCAGGAGGTATCAAGAACGCTATCCTGCATGGTTACGAAGAGGTGGACGTGGAGCAATAAGAAACAAGATCACTGAACATCTGATCGATAATGATCAACCCATCTCTACAATCTCCGACTTTATTGTCATCTACAAGGCGAAACGTAATTCGAATCATGTATATTGCTGAAACTTACTTTGGCTATCAAAATAGAGCTGCCAGATCTCTGTATACAGAAAACGTTTGTCTGACCCCTTCAACTTTCATCGTCGTACTCCCTCTATGTTAAAGTATGTTAATCCTTTTTATCAGTTTGTCTATCATTCCTTTATTGTGTCAACTGCTACTGTTTCTATATTCACTTTGAATTGTCCCCGGTATTGTTTCACTCATTCCACTTGTCAATCAAAATCGATTTTGTTTTTCAACCGGAAACTATGATTTGTGAAATTTTATACAGTGTTACGTAACGTTTTCATTTTTATTCCATTTGCCCACTAAACCCATAATTTGACACGCCTTACATGTTCTATACATCCCATGAATTGTTCTATTTACGAAATTAATCTTTTTGCCACCTGATATTGAACTGTGACTATAATCAAAAACATTTTAATTGCATTTCGTACTATAATTATTTTGTGTATTCACACGTATGATTCAATCCCCTTACAACATAGAAAGAATTTCGTTTAGACCATATAAATACGTTTGTACAACTTGTTAATAAATTCGTTAAAAAGAGTCACTTCGCTGAATCACTTGTTTTGGTTTCCTATATGTCCTAATGGGAGTTTTCCATGAATTAAATAAATAGTTTTAACCACGTATATCATCAAAAATATACAGGGTAACATACCAAAGCATGTGCCACTTCATGAGTAGCTGTTGATATCAATTTCGTTTTAGCAGGTTCATTTACACTCATATGTTGTGGACAGAAGTTGATTGCTCCCATAATTGGTCTAAAATATTAATGCGGAAAAAATAAATCTCGGAGAGTTTATAATGAATACGGAATGTCGATTTTGATTTGAACTGTCATATGCAAACCTCATATTGGGGCGATTTGCACGAATATTTCACACAGCGGAAATCCTCAACTTCTGTAGAAAATAGGGAGCTGCCAGGATTTCGTCAATGTCAGTGGACTGTTTAAATCTCTAAGTTACCAAATTTATACCATCCATGAAATTGCATCCGATATTCTACAGTTCTTATGTTTTAACAATCACACACATATTTATAAGAAGATTTGAGACTAGTGCTATGAAGAGTTTGAAGGAAATTGAAGGAAGCGTCCGTGTGGTAATGGAGCTTGGAATGGATGGAATAATGTTGTTTTCAGTGATGCATTATTACATTACTTGGAGATTCTGAACAAGGAGTAAATATCTCGCCGCAAAATAGGCGAAAAATCTGTACTGCTTCAAATGTACTATTCATCATGATGCTGTCATTATTGTCGCCAATATCAATATTAGTAATTAATCTCAGATGAATGTACACCACAGGAACGCAAATGAAACACACATTGAGGCACATCTCAACGTCATCTCAACAGGTGAAAAGAGAAGAGTGGAAGTCGATGAGTTGTATGCTCAATCCATAATTTTGGTCTTCAGCAACTGTACAAAATTTAGGTTTATAAATACATATATAAATATAGCTGAATAACATAACGATAATTACTGGCCAGCTACAAATCGGGTGGTCGATACTGATTTGGTTGTGTTAACTGGGACAAACTGAGTACACCGCTGGTAGGCTCAGCCTCAACAGGGAGAAATGAGCTTCTGCTACTTACATCTCTTCAGTCTAGCTAGCAATCCAGCCTCAATCTAACTGCCGGTTGGTGTGAGGGGTGTACAACAACTGATTTAGTTCAGATAGTAGTATGTCGTTTCATGATGTAATTACTCACATTTGACCTAATGCTATCTGATGTCTTTGCATCGTCCCACCTCGTAAAGAAGTATCAATAGTCAGCCATTAGAAGTATCTCAAGGGTCTTCTATAACCATCCAACTTTAAAGATGTTATCAGGCAGCCAAAACAAGATTCCTTCTAAGACAAGAAATGCAAAATTATTTCATAGCTTAAGACAACTATCTTAAGCGTCAATTGATTTTTGGTTTCTTCTCATTTATCCGAAATACTCATTAGGACATTTGAAAGATTAGAACACATGATGCTCTGTTTTCAATCACTTCCTTTTGATTTTCATTATCAGTGAAAGTCATTTCAATATGGTTTAGATCGCTTAACAAGCAAGCGAGATTATGAGATATTATAGCCCATTGACTCACTATCATCAGAACAGATCGCTTTTTGTTAAAATCGCTCACATCCTCAATTTCAATGTCATTATAATTGTAATTTTTATGTCAACGTATAATAACTACAACATTTTGACTGCACATTTTCATCTGATTAGAGAAAGCAAACTTCTAAGAAGTGTGGCTAACTCATTTCGAATTCAAAACACAATTTCGCATTCACTAGTGTACACATAATCTACCTATCAGTTGTTGGATGCATTTCACATGGAGAGGCAAAAGCCACTGTCACACCACGTCTACAAGATCCTTTATTCACGCTATCCACGAACATCACGAACTCATTCGGTGCAAATCCTGGTCCATCTTGGGTAACCCGTCGTAGATTACTACCATCACGTCCTTGGAAACATCCCTGTGAATAGCAACAACAAAAAGTGAAGAAATACGTTTCAATAAATTAATTAACTAATTCATGTCCATTGAGAGAACAAGCTCAAAAACATAGTGAAAAATATTATCACAACCATTTCGCTGACGAGAATCATTATTTGCTCGTGAAAATGTTGTCGGAAAACTGTCGAAATTCTTAATTCTCCCAGTGAATCACAGTCAATAATTTTATACCATAAAATTGGGGCATGCTAGTAAGCTCAAACGTTGATGACGTTAAGCTTGATAATTGGTTTGCAAATTTAATCTATGGTTCTGCATTTACATTCAGAAAGTGTTGTCGAAAGTTTGCTCTATTCTGAAAAGATTTAATGACACAGTAATACTTCATTCGCGATACACATCTTTGCTTATTTCTGATTAATCGAATCTCAGATAAACCGAATATTTTGTTATCAGGAGTTGGTGTGAAAGGATCAGATTTGTTTTCGAGTTCGATCACAGATTGAAACCAATTAGAGTACCATTGAAAACCAGGTGGTGTGTACTGGACAGCGATGCCATCCTTGTTTATTGATCATTGGCACTACTCAGCCATCACCAGGGTTTAAACCCAGGATCTTCTGATTACAAGGCAGGCTCGTATAACATTCAACCACTGGGACCCACTTCATTGGTCAGTGCATGAATTCTAACTTCTACCCATTAGTGATTTTGGTGAGACCATCAACAAATGTAGTCGGCGGGAAATTCATCCTCACTCCCGACTGAATGGGCTACTCAGGTCACGACTTCTTCGGTAGACTCCATCATGTAGCCAGTTACTAGTGAGCATCAGATCAATTTTCAAGAGTTGATTTGTAAGGATTAGATTTGTTTGTCGTTTTCACATTATTCCAGTAGACGCCTTATTCATATCACCAAGTATTCCTTTCGGTAGTTCTCATGGGATTTTCTCAGATGGACTAGTGATCTCTGAAACACACGTATATTTTAAACGACCTTTTTTCAATGATTGAAAGCACTGAGATGATTAGAGTAAACTTACGGCAGTAAATTGATTTGGGACTTTATAATCAGTGCATTTAGCGTGACTGCACTGTTGCATGCAAAACCTTCTGCCTGTGTTTCCATCTAAAGCTGAATAGCCTTCAACGCATCCGCTATCATCAAAAGAAAGGAGAGAAATACAAAGCGTATCCACTGAATTGAATGTTGAAAAGGATTTACACATCTACAAAACAGTGTAAGAGGCTTTTTAATTGATTCATGATGGCCATGATGATATACATATAGAAAAATGTTGTCTAACAATACACTGAATATTTTTACCTACCTTGGAATTAGAAGTCTCCTGTTTGGTGATCGTCTTGCACTCAGTGTTCTTTCCCAGAAATTAAGAGCTCGTTGAACAACTTCATTCTTATCAATGAAATTAAAAGCAGTTAATATTTAACCAAGAAAGTACTAATTATAATTTATAATTTAGCATATAAACTATTCACGAGTACAGACAGGAGTAAATCTGAAAGATTCATTAGAGTTATAACATTTATTACAATGTATCATTCTTTTCAATGATTCAACCATAAATGCAGAGACCAATATAGACATGTATAAATTTACTTGATCGAATGATCTTACCTTGAATTGTTGAAATAATGGATGCCTTCGAAAACCCTCTTCATAATGCACAATAAATCTAAGTCTGTTCCCACCTTGTTGACGCTTATCGACTGGTTCGCCCAAAACACCATAGTTCTGAAGAGAATGTGAGTTAGAAGATCAATACTCTGTTTTCACTTACAATAGTTATATTGGGGTCCATTTGACAAATATGTTCACTCTGCACTACTACAGCGAAACTGATGATGCAGAGGAACAACAGAATATTCCTGGAACTCTGAGCCATTTTACTACTATTATTATTACAGTGAGAGTGTGAAGACAATACAGAAGTATTGCTGTATGAATCCCATCATTTCGTTCACTCGTTTATATACACAAAACGATGTAGCCTCGATCAATGAGAATGTGATTCATCTCATGAGAAATGAATGACATCGAAATAGTACTTTTTTGTAATTTAGTAAATTGTGTGACCTTCCTTAAAATTTCAAATGTAATAAAAGTACTTTTCGAATTGAGTACTTTCTGCCTGTAAATGGCATACAAATAGTTCAGTCTTCATATTATTATTATACAAATCAAAATGGCCTCAGAAGAAGATAAAAATGAACTAAGTGCAGATCCTGAACTCAAGGTTAGGACAAATCTGACCATTGGAAAAATTCTTTAAGGAATTCAGTTATGCCTCATATCTACTATGATTAAATTGCAAGGCGAAATATATATACAAGTATTGGCTTTGTAAGGATTTTGTTTGATTGGTTGGAGGATTTAATCATGAGCTGACATCAGTCAGAGAACCACTGGAGAACCAGCAGGGAGTACTGGAAAGCTGTTTCGTCCTAGTTTGCGGTTCTCCAGCAGTACGCACCCACCGCCATGGTTAGAACCCAAGACCTTCTGGTTACAAGGCAAGCTCGTCGACCAATGAGCCATGGGACCCAATCCAATGGCCAGCCCATGAATTCTAACTTCTGCCAACTCATGACATATCGCGGTCACTTCTCAATGTCTTCTTCGATGAGTTACTGCCTCGCCTTAAACCTGCTGCACCCTACTGATCACGGCTTCCCACTGGAAGATGCCTAGATATAAGGTAAACAATACTTTGGAATACAGTACTTTCGACCTGCTGTACCACACTGATCACAGCTTCCCACTAGAACCCCAGGTTAACTGCCTGAATAGGGCCAGTCGCTAGTGAGCATCAGATTAATTTTAAAGTATTTGTTTTATAAGGATTTTGTTTGATTGCATGGAGGATTTATTCATGAGCTGACATCAGTTAGTGAACCACTGGAAAACCTGGGATTACTGGACAGCTCTCCAGTGCTATTTCGTGAATTTGGAGGAGTTATAATTTAACGACCATTGGATCTGGTTGCAGTAGCTGAATGGTCTTCGAGCTGGCCTTGTAACCAGAAGAGTCGAAAACCAGGACGAAACAGCTGTCCAGTAATCCCAGATTTTCCAGTGGTTCTCTAACTGATGTCAGCTCATGATTAAATCCTCCATAAAAACAGAAGGTGTAGAAACGGGATGGATAACCAATATCCCTATTGTAGCAGACATATTTATGAACAGCTGGGTAAATAGTGCTATTAACACATTTAATTTTACTCCAAAAATATCGTGGAGATATGTGGATGACAGTTTCACAGTGTTAAAAACAGAACATATCTCTAGGTTCTTCATACGCATAAACTCACTAGTAGAGGGAATAAAATCCACATTTGAATCAGAAAATGAACAAGGAGAATTATCTATGTTAGATTGTAAAATAAAGCGAATTGAAGAAGGTAAAATTCACACCAGAGTTTATAAAAAACCAACGCATTCTTCAATTCATCTCATCAGTTCGTTGTGTGTTTTTGAAGTCAGGCTTAGTTAAGTGTCTAACAAGCCTAGCAGCAGAACTAAGCAGTACAAGAAAAGACCTAAATGATGAAATAAAACAGTCAGAAGAATAGCTGGTTGGTATCAAATAACTATCCCTTAAAATTCATTAAGAACATCAAAAAAGGTCAGAAGCAAAATAAAAATAGTGGTGAAACCAATAATGATAACATAAATAAGAGAGAATATAAGGCATCTACTGTTATACCATATAAGGAGGGGACATCTGAGACCCTAGGTAGGATTCTTAATAAAGTTGGAATTGGAGTGGCATTTAAACCTACAAACTCACTCAGTTAGGACAAGCTCTGTAATTTGAAGGACCCAGTTGAGCCAATTAGACAAAATAGTACAATTTACAAAATACCCTGCAATGACTGTCAGTTAGGTCAACTGCATAGGTCAAACTAGTAGGTCGGGGGTAGTCAGATTGTCGGAACATAAGAATTTAGCGGCTAAGGTTAGAATGATTGATCCCACGAAGATAAGTAATTTAGAAAAAAACAACAACTCAGCAATCTAACTGCATACACTAACACACAACCACACAATAGTGTGGGACAAAACCAAACTAGTAAAGAGTAATATAGGTAGGTGGAGATAGAGGGAGGTTGATTACTGAATCCTGCCTGGTTCATCCAGTCTACACCCAACACATGCAACAGAAATGTCTCAAAGCAAATACCAGAGATATCGAAGACATTATCACCAGTCAAGTCGGCGAATAATAAATAATGTTAAAATGTATTCAGTTCACATTATAGCATTCTAACAAGTTACTTATTTTTACTATAAGACATCTTATTTCCCATCTGATTGTATTTGATGGATAACGCCTGCATTATTTCCCAATGTACTTTATCTTATATTGATTTTATTCAAATGTCTAATCATCAATTTTCACTCATGTATATAAATGAAGCAAGAAAGCGAGTAGTGTGAATAGTGCCAAGATATGGTTATGAGCAGTAATAAATTGTTCTCGAAACGTGGTCATTAGTTAATATTACTGTATAACACCACTGTGTGATTTATCAAAATGAAATCTTATCTATAGTGGGGTTATACTCTAAAACAGTACCCAGGTTTTATACTTATATCAGTAATACTTCTCAGCTGTAAATGTTTGTCATTCTAAGAGGCATTTTAAATACGGAGGTTTAGTCACTACAGATGCAGAATACAAGTAAATTAGTATCAGTTGTTATTGTAAGTAGGATGTCAACCAACGCTATTTGAACAACCCTTCTAAATTTTATATCTCTGATTTTTAACTACTGAGAGCACCCTATTGTTATACAAAGACTGATAATTAAATAGATTATCTTGATTTCAGTCATTTGATTTCGAAGAAATATGTCTGTTGATTTGCTATCAGAGTGAAATTTTAGGACTGTTGCATTACAACTATAAGGTAAATAATAATAATTATATATCACTGCGACTTCACTCAGTTTAGTTTGTAGGCCGTTCTTAATCTGTAAGTGAATAAAAGCTGAGTGAATAACCCTAGCAACCCCACGCATGCAAAACAGAACAATACCATTGCTGTGGAAATTTTGAAGCACAGAAATAATAAACAAATCCATCAATGGAATCACGAGTACTCCTCACTTCCAAGATGGATGACCTCCCCCTCGGGTGAAAACCCTCATGAAGCAAGTTGACCGATGTGGTCTCTGTCTATGAAAGCAAATTTACCCATATGGACATGGAATGTCGGTGAGATGCTGTTTGAGGCTGGTTGGTGAGGCTGCTGAAATTGAAAATTAAATGAGAAGACGCGATATTGAAGTGTTAGTAATCTGTTAGATCAAACAGAAGGCTGTTCCGTCCCCCAAACCATTACCGAGAGAGTTGACAGTGTACTACGCACAAACAAATGCCAGTCATAAGCACACTGATGGCGTAGTCATTGCAATGTCACAAATAACACCGAAGGTTCCTGTGCAATGAGAACTAATCTCCTCCGAGATGATGACAGGAAGATTTAACTAAAAAAGAAAGGAAATTATTAATTATACAGGACAGTATTCACACAAACAAATTGGACTAAGAGAAGCGGCACGACATCTACCTACAAGTGCAAACGGTAACAGACAAAGCCGAAGCCAGATGGCAACATCAAAATTCCTATGAGTGATACAAACGCAAACTGGTAGGAGATAAGACACAACATGATTCATGAGGTAGTCAATGAATGAGAACACAACACTTTAGGGGCTTCTGCACCATCATTGAATTCATAGTCAGAGGGAGTGTTTAAAAATTCAAGGAAATACGCAATCTCATAAAAGGTGAGGAAGTAGGCTAATGGATATATGAGCAATCATAGGAGATGTTGACTCCGCTCTAGAACAGGACATCTTGAAGTTGAAAACCTGAGTCTCTGATATGAAAGAGAATGGAAGTTGGCCTTCAACATTGATACTCTGATTACTGAGACGATCATCACAATCAGACTGAGAGTACAGCTGTCCTAGGAGGATAGATGAGATAAAAGACAGAATGGAGATTTACGGATGAATGGAAGTTGATAGAGGAGAGGAGTTTAGTAAAGTGGAACAGTGTAGAGATGAAAGACCGAAGAGGCAGAAGAGTGCAGTCAACAACCCACTGAACATAGCAGTGAAGGAGAGTGTTTGAAAAAACAAACGACAATGATACGACAAAATGTCAACTGAAACAGAGCTGGCCGCAGGTAAGGGAGACCCCACAACACTATGTAAAATATCCGGTTTCTTATCCAGGGCGAAAGGAATGTGGATGAAAGGACTGAAAGTTAGTGAAGCGTACCCTATTACTATAAAAGATAAGCAAAGGAAATAATGAGCGAATCACGTTAGAAGAATTCTCAATCAAGCACCACTGTCACCCCGTCCTGAATTGCCACCAGTCTCCACATAAATGACGGTGAATAGCAATGTTCCGACAAAAACAGAAGTCTTGAATTTCATAAAGTTGTTGAAAGCCAACCAGGAGGGGAGCGTGGCTAGAAGCACTGAAAACTATCCATCATATCTCAGGCAAAATACACACGGAGTGTATAGAACCAAGCGATAGTACCTTTTCATTGAAATTCAGGTTGTGTTGTCAGACTCCCAAACAGAGGTGATTTTAGCCTTCACATAGACTGGTGCGGAATCATGATGATGTCCGTTCTGAGCAAAATATTAACCCACAACATTCCTGAAAAACTGGAAGGTGTGTTGAATGGAAGAAAGACGTTGACTAGAACAGACAGGATTTAGGGATGAGAAATCATGCATGAAGGAAATTGGAGCGTTATGTGTCAGCAATTAAAAGAGCCTAGAATGTTGGGTAACTGCTTTCTCACCTTTATCGAATTTGAGAAGCTTTTCAAAACCATCGATATCGAAGCAGTTTGGCAACTTCATCAACACAACGCAAGGAGATGAGAGAAA